CCTCCACCTTTATTAGCTGCCAGGAAAAAATTAGTCTCCCATTACATCATTTCAAATATTATCAAATTTTTATAATCTACATTTTATTATAAAGTCAATTTCATTAAAAATTATAATATTATACTATAATTTTCGAGGTATATATACGGATAAATAAGATTTAAAAAAAAAATTATTTGCTTATTTTAAGGTTTGGATCGAAGGAAACAAATAATGCCTGTCACGAACCTTTTTCTTTTTTCTTTTTCCTTTTTAGTTTGCTTATCGTGACTGGTAAGTTAGCAACGTACTGAAATTTCTTTTTTAAAAGCATTTATTATTCTTCTTATAAAGTCAATATTTTAATTTAATTTTTAATTCATTTATTAACACAAAAATCTAATGAAAAATCTCAAATTTAATTCTCAATTAATTTGATTTGATTTTTTTTCATTTTTTCTAAAAATATTTTAAAGCTAAATTTAAAAAATAAAAGGATTTTTTTTTTACAAATTCCTTTAATTGAATTTTGAAAATATTCCTTTGAGAGTAGAAAGAAAGAAAGGAATATTGTCTAATTTTTTAAAATATAAAATTAAAAATCAAATTGGAAAGTATTTAACGTATTTATCCCAATTATTATATACTGATATGATTGGCATTCTAATTTATGAGGTTTATAACAAAATTGTGGATGGAAAAATATATTATTATATTTTCATTAAATTAATTCATGTTGCCACGTTACAATAAAGAATAGACCGACTTCTAGAAGAATTCATGTATTATTAAGAGGAAAATATGTATATACTCTTTCTAGAATTCGGGTTTTTGTCGTTTAAATTTAAATATTAACGCTAAATTAATAAAAATATCTTTCACGTTTGGTCCCAAAAATATTCATAAATTTTTAAATGTTTGGATAATATTCTTAGCTTTTTCTAAAAATATCTAAAAAAATAAGTACTCTTGAATTAAAAAAATCAAGAATACGGTCGGTTTTGAATGGATAGAGTTAATATTTTGTTTAAAAAATATTCATAATTTTTTTTAAATGGTTAAAAAAAATACACTACCGTTATTAAATGTTTCGTTCATATATTTGTTTTTTTAAAAATATATTAGTACTTTTAAATTTTTTAAAAACTTAAAAAATACATTTTAATTTTTTAAAAAAAATTTAAAAATACTCTTTAGGTTAATACTACATCTGATCAATATATAATTTTTGTCCATAAAATTTATAGGTATAATTAAAATATATCCTAAATTGAAAAAAAAGTTATTTTTGAGGTAAATTTAAAGTTGAAGGATAAAAAGATAAATTTTTTTTGTAAGTTATGGTAAAATTTGTATGATTGACCTAAAAAGAATGTGAAAGGAAAACTCTACGCATTATTTTGGCGGGGGGCGTTCGAATGGTTTTAGCAGAAAGAGCAAAAGAATGCGCCGCTATGTGAAGCATTCGAGTTCGAACCGCTTGTTTCATACATGGGTGTGTCTGCGGCCTCAATACTCAATCGCCTTCTTTCCCATAAGAACCTCAGCGCCAGAACCCAACCCACCGGCGCCAAAGCCGCTGCCACCACAATCCTCAAATACCTGGAAGAGGGTCGCCTCCGAAAAGCTGTCTCGGTTCTGTTTGATTCCCCCTTCCCCTTTCCTCATCCTTTGTATGCTCGCCTCTTCCAAATTTGTTCTTCCACTCGCGCTCTTGTTGAAGCTCGAAAGGTTGAATCTCATTTGGTTACGTTTTGCCCCACGCCGCCGATTTTCTTGTTGAATCGGGCGATTGAGGCGTATGGTAAATGTGGGTGTTTGGAGGATGCGAGGGAGCTGTTCGAGGAAATGCCTCAGAGAGATGGGGGATCTTGGAATGCGATGTTAACGGCGTATACGCAGAATGGGTTTGCTTTGGAATCTTTGAATTTATTTCTGAATATGAATAAATCCGGTGTTTATGCTACTGAAATAACTTTAGCTAGTGTACTTGGGTCTTGCGGTTCTGTTTTGGCTCTTCACCTCTCTAGGCAAGTTCACGGGCATATTGTGAAATCTGGCTTTGTTGGCAATGTGATTCTTGAGAGCTCGCTTGTTGATGTCTATGGAAAGTGTAGGCTTATGAATGATGCACGTAGCATGTTTGATGAAATCCAGAATCGAAATGATGTTTCCTGGAATGTTATTGTTAGGCGCTATCTTGAGGTGGGCGATGGTAAAATGGCAGTGTCAATGTTTTTCCAAATGTTCCGAGAGGCAGTGATGCCATTGAGTTTTACTTTTTCCAATGCTCTGATTGCTTGTTCAAGTATGGCAGCACTCATAGAAGGTAGGCAAATTCATGGTATTGTAGTGAAAGTAGGTTTGGAAGAGGATGAAGTTATTTCGAGCTCTTTAATTGACATGTATGTGAAATGTGGAACATTAGACAATGCTCACCAAGTATTTACCCAACCCAGTTCCAGAAATCTTATTTCTTGGACTTCCATGGTATATGGATATGCAATGTCTGGGGAAGTTCTAAAAGCTAGGGAGCTTTTCAATGAAATGCCCGAACGCAATGTGATTTCGTGGAATGCTATGTTGGCAGGGTATATTCATTCCGGTCAATGGAAAGAGGCACTCGACTTTGTCCACTTGATGCACAATTCGATTAAGGATGTCGATCACGTTACTCTTCGCCTGATATTGAATGTGTGTACTGGCCTTTTAGATGTTGAAAGAGGAAAGCAAGTTCATGGTTTTATCTATAGAATTGGTTTCTATGCTAATCTCTATATTGGTAATGCCCTCCTTGACATGTATGGTAAATGTGGGAACTTGAAAAGTGCCCGAGTTTGGTTCTACCAAATGAGTCAATGGCGGGATAAAGTCTCCTGGAATGCTCTACTCACTACCTATGCTCGTCACGGCATGAGTGAACAGGCTATGACAATTTTCTCAGAGATGCAATGGGAAGCAGCTCCTAGTAAATTTACCTTTGCAACCCTTTTAGCAGCCTGCGCAAACACCTTTGCATTAGATCAAGGCAAACAAATCCATGGCTTCATGGTTAGAAATAATTATGAGATAGACGTTGCAGTTAGTGGAGCTTTAGTTGATATGTACTGTAAATGCCGACAACTTGAGTACGCTCTCAAGGTTTTTGAAAATGCAGCTTCGCGCGATGTGGTTCTGTGGAACTCCATAATTTTAGGATGTTGTCACAACAGAAGGGGTATGATAGTAATCGAATTGTTTGAAATGATGATGATGGAGAAAGGCATTAACCCGGACCATGTGACCTTCCAAGGTATTTTGCTTGCTTGTGTCTATGAAAATCTCGTTGAGTTAGGTAGGCAGTATTTCGATTCAATGATTGACAAGTTCTGTATCATACCTCGATTAGAGCACTATGAATGTGTGATCGAGCTCTATGGCCGACATGGAAACATGGATGAGCTCGAAAAATTTATCAACAATATGCCCTTTGATCCTACTGTTCCAATGCTAGAAAAAGTCCTTGATGCATGTAGAAAACACGGACACTCGAGGTTGGGAGAATGGGTAGCTATTAGACTAAAGGAGCAGAATCTTTACAAGTGAAATCATGAAAGCAACAAAATCTATCCCATCAGCTCAAGCATTCACGGTTTGAAACCATTGTGGAAAGTTGTCTCTCATTCATTGTAGAATCCAAAATTTTTGGCTATGCTCAACAGCGTCAGCAATCAAAGAGAAATTTAGATCCAAGATCTGAATGAGAAGATACCAAGATGTTTATTGCTCATTACAGGATCAAGTGTTCGCTCCAGCCTATTGAAAAGCAATGCATGTTCAAGAGCTCTGTGAGAAGAATCCAGGATCTCAATCTACCCAACATGTTGACTGTCACAATCCCCATCAAGTATGTGATACATCCACTAAACTTTCGATGCTTATTTAAATAGGAAATTTGTAAACCTCGTCCATCGAGATATCGTTATGAGTTCAAAGCATGCTTAAAGAAAGATAGGCCGTATTCTATAATTTGAACAAACAAGAACAACAAACTCTGGTGATACTTTGCGTTTTTGGTTGAAGGGTCAGCTGTTTTAGTTGCCTTGCCTGATATGTAGCAGAACACAAGCTGATTCTTTATTCTTTAACTTAAATATCTTCAAATGCCTAAATTAAATGATCTGATCGAAAATGAGATGAGAACAGAACACGAAAGACAATTTGCTGACTGAAAAGTCACTTTAATGTTAATACCTTGTACTTTATTTTGGCTCTTGGCTTACTCTTGTTGGTGAGGGCTAGGATAAATTACTAGAATTTATGGAACTGATATTGTATGTCAAAGATCAAATTGTATTCAGAAAATTTTATTGAGGTGCATCAATCTCCCTTTTCCATTCATATGCGTTTTCGTTAGGATGATTTGTCTGTTTTTCTTTGAAATGCTTTGTTCTTCTCCAGTTCCCTTGCAAGCTCTGATTCCTATCACAGGTTAAATGAATAATAATAGAAAAAACTTAAGTCAGTTTTTATGTTACCGTAGCTAATGAGATGGTTTAGACTATTTTGAAAACTTCAGTAGTTAAGAAAAGAAATTAAGGTTTCATTTTTGTATTCTTGTTTTTCATTTTTTCGTTTTTGTTTCCTCTTTTTTAACAAAGAAAAATGTATCTTGTTCTTTCTTTTATTTTTATTTTTTGAATAAAATATAAACATATTTGATAACCTAAAAACTTGTGAGAGGAAAATGAAACTTTCTATAAAATGTAAACATATTTATAATATACATTAAAAATATAAAAAAATTACATGAAAATAAGTTCTTAAAATTAAATAACAAATTTTTTGTGTTATATTCGTTTTTAGATATATATTATTTATGCTTTTCATAACCGGAGATAAGAAACATGAACTTAAACCAGTTTTTTAAGATCTGTTTAATAACCATTTGGCGGCATTAAAAGAAGAATATTGTATCCTGGAACAGATGCTTGAAAGGTATATTTAGATTTGGTGATGTCAAAGGTGCACGCCATCAGGTAATGCCTGAGAAGGACATTATTTCTTGGAACTCTACGATTTCTGGTTCTGTTTCATCTGGATTTGCTAATAATGCTATGGACGTTTTTCTGGAAATGAAAAACGCTGGTTTTAGACCAAGTAAATATACCTTCTCCATTTTGCTTCCAGTGTCGTATGCTTGTCATGGTAAGCAATTTCTTGGCAGTATGGTTCGAAGTGGTGTGGATGTGTCAAGTGTGGTGCTCAGAAATTCATTGATTGATATGCAGTGAGAATTTTTGGCCTTGTTGATTACATGTTTTCCATATTTTTTAGTATGGAAAAGGTGGATGTTATCTCTTGAAGCTCTTTGATTTTGGTCTGCCACAGACCAGGCTTAAGAGTATTGGCACTATATCAGTTCTCTCTAGTAGCACTCTCCCGATCAGTTCACTGTATTAATCATGCTAAACTTGGATTAACTGAGAATGCCATTATAGTCTTCATAGATATACCTGTTAGAGGTTTGATATCATGGAACACTATGATTATGGTTCTGGTTAACAATGTGTACTTTGAAGCCTTACGCACTTTGAATAAGTTGGTCAGGGAAGGTGTACTGCCAGATAGGATAACTCTAGCTGGAGTCTCATTAGCTTGCAGTCATGCTGGTTTTGTTGAGGAAGGGATAGCCACCTTCTTTTCAATGGCATATGAACATGGAGGCGTGCCGAGGAATGAACATTGTTCTTTTGTAGTGAACTTGCTGAGTTGGGCTGGTAAATTTGAAGCAGTTATTATTATTAAAACACCAAAATGCCAATCTACTTCTACACTTTGCAAGTCACTTCTTGGTGTCTGTGCAATTCATGGAGACCTAAAAGTTGTTGAAAGAGTTGCAGAGAGGGTGGTGAAGCTGGAACTGCAATCATCCTTACTGTATTCGGTACGGGTCGGTGCAGGCTCAAGCATTTGCAATGAGAGGTAGATGGGAAAGGATCGCACTGATTGTGAGCTCCAGATTACTCTTAGGAACTCGAGGCTGGGAGGCGATACACGTATTATGCTTAGGAATCCTTCACAGAGTGCCTCATCCGGGTAAGTTTCTGCTGGACTTGTATATGCTTCATTTTTTTGCAGCAAATGTGATTTTATGTTAACAGATTATGCAGCTTTGTTCTGAAGTTTACTGTCTATTCTCTCTGCATTTGTGTGGGTTTGCTATAGTGGGATACCAATTGAAAGCATTCCCAAGGTCGTTTGCTGGAGCTAACTTTCGTGCAATGGAGGATGGAGTTTGGAAGAAAGCTGAAGCAGTGTGGAGAGATATGTGAAGGAGGGGTAAATGCTTCCCCTAACTCCTCATGATCCTCCATTTTTATGACGATGGGCTTCCCTTAGAAAGTACAGAAAATGATTGAAACAGATCCGGAGGCTAATGATGAATGGACCAACAGATCTGGGTGCCTAGGTATCCAATCCACATTAAGCCTCCAAAATATGTGGTTTTAGGAAATTAATTGATCATCATTATCTTTGCCTTACTTTTGCCTTACTTAATGCCTTCATTTTGTGAAAGAATCGGGTTCCCCCACCGACCCAGTGACACACCAGCCACGCCCCTTCCCTTTCTCCAATCATCAAGCCCACTTGTCCCTTTCTTTGTCTTTCGTCCTCTGTTCATCCTATACAAATAGTTAAAGTGAGGCTCAAAGACTCCTAAATCAATCTCAAGTCTTTTCTTTCACCTCTCCTTATAATCGAGGCAATGGAATTGTGAGACCAACAATGCATCGGTTCAGGAGCGCGATCGCTTTTATTTATCTATAAATAGAAAGCAATATGCAAATAGAGCAAAAAGGACCAATTATTCAGGATAGGAATCCACCTGCGCCCTCTTTCGAAGGGTCGGCGGGACATGGGAGCTTCAGCTCATGCATCGGTTTACCGAAAGAACCAATGCTATCCTACTTCCTTCTATCGCTCCTTGCTCGGTTGGGAGGAGTTGCAATTTGTTTCAGACTCTAGGAAGTTTTTTCAAACGTAAGCTAGCTGTTCTTCGCTGGCTGGAAAAAGTGTTGGTTTCTTCACATTAACATCACTCCATTTTTGTAATCTACTGGTCACATGTATGAGGTCTGGCTTCATTTATTCATTTTTAATCAACAAAAGCACTTGCAACCCAAGTTTTCTTATGATATTGTCTCTGTTGCTGCTAATTTCAGGATCCAAAGAACGGGTTATGCCAGAAAACGTGATCATATCAACTTGCTTATCATAGTTTCAGAAAGTCCAATCTTTACAGGTAAACTTTATGGTTTATTTTGGAAGAAAGGTCAGTAGCATGCAAATTGAAGTATTGATTCATTTATTGCACTTCAAAAGTTTCTAATTTTCCTACAATGAGTCTGGATTTACGTGTGAAATTGAAACATCTCTGATTATGAATGTTTACCTAAATAACAAACCAGCAAACATCGGCAAACTTATACGACCATAAACAAACATTTAAAAGAAAACAAAAGCAGACAGAGACTACTAACTTGGCCAAATCTAGCAGAGGGTAGAATACATAGCCACACACATTGTGAGATCCCACGAGAAACGAAACATTGTTTATAAGAGTGTGGAAATCTTTTCCTAATAGACACATTTTAAAACCATGAGTTGACGGCGATAGATAAAGGGCCAAAGCGGACAATATCCAGTAAGAGTGGGCTTGGACTGTTACTAATGATATTAGAGTTAGACACTGAGCGGTGTGCCGATTAGAGAGGGAAACGAGTGCCAACGAGGACTTTGGACCCTGAAGAGAGGTGGATTGTGAGATCCCACATCGATTGGAGAGGAAAACAAAGTATACTTTATAAGAGTGTGAAAACCTCTCTCTAATAGGCACGTTTTAAAATCATGAAAAAACGGACAATATCCACTAGCGGTGGACTTGGGCTGCTACACACGTAACAGCCCAGCCATACACACAGTGATAGTGATCTTTTAATCTACAGTGATAGTGATCTTTTAATCAGCAGATGGGACAAAAGCAAAGTTTATTGAATATATTAGTGCCTCTAGACCATAGATACCTAAAAGCCATAACCCACTCAATAATTCCCTATCAGAAACTAGCCATAGGGAGAAAAAAAGGGGAAAAATCCATTCAAAACATCAATCATGGAACCTGAGATAGGAATAAGAGAATGAACAGAGCCCAAAATAAGTGCAGAATTCAATGATTCATGAGATGCAAACAGACAGTATCCTTTTTTTAATTGGTCAAAAGAAAGATGTTTGGCAGAAGATGAAGGTCGACGCAGCAAGAATATGATAGAAAGTATTCCCTTATTTTAAAAAGAAAAGTTGGTGTAAAAGCATGAACAGAACGAAATGGATTGGTTGGGTGTGATGGCCATATAAGTAAAATCTAATTATCTTAGCCAATTTAGTATAAAGCTGAGTACCCCACTTAATGGAATGGGCTAAACTAGACCATAGGATGCCTTTGCTTTTCGAGCATCAACTGTTGTCTTTACTTGATTGATGATAACGATGATTGACGATGCATAGGGCTTCCTCTATTTCCATCTGTTTCTTTGTTTAAATCTTATCTAATTTTGTTCGTTAACGTCAGTTTGAAATGACTTCTAATCTTATAAAAGAACACTCGAGTGAATTATTTAAGTGCATTTTTATTATTTCGTTTATTTCAATCATGAAAAAAAAAATAGAAATTTTTAGGGTTTAGGGTTTATTAAATATGAAAATGACATATATTAATAATCATTTAATTTCTTAGTTTAAGATTTTTCACAAGAAGAGAATTATTGTTTTTTTTTTTTAATGACACTGATATATCCAATTTTGTCTTCTTAAGAGATATGAACAATGATCAAGGGTATATTCGTAATTTAAGAGGTTATGAAAGAAACAAAATTTTAATTTAAAAAATGTTTGATTGGATGGCTTTTTAAAACATGGTATTAAAAAAAAAAAAAGGGAATATTATTAAATAAATTGGAGAGGAAATTAGGTGAATAAATACCAAAAATTCACCTATTTTTAATTTTGAAGGAATTTGGAGTAATATTCTTTTTTGATAATAAAGGAAAAAAGGGGTTTAAAGGGAAAAAAGAAAAAAAAAATAAAAATAAAAAGGGTCCATTTTTCGTTTGTGGGATGAAATGGAAAAGGAATAGCTTTTGAGTGCGGCTTCGGTTTTTAACACATGGAACCTTCTACACACACAATAATATAAAATAATAGTAATTAATAAATAAATAAAATTTAAAATATAAATAAAAATTTTGAAAAAAAAAGAAAGGAAAATTGGAGTTTGGTATTTAGTTCAATTTCAATTTTAATTTCAATTATGAATCCTTTGGTGGGCCCCACGTAAACAGGAAGTGGGCCCCACTTGAACTCAGAAGGCCATCCTCACACGCACGCAGGATGCTTTCCACGTGGCGCAATCTGCATTACTCCTTCTTTGCCACCGGACGTTTTCTTTTCTTTTTTTTTTTTTTTACAAGTCCCAATGCCAACGCTGTAGGTGCTCTTCCTTTTGCGTGTCTTCTATTTTATAGACCATCTTCGGCTGACTGCTTCACCTCCGCCTTGCAGGAATTTCTTTTTTCTTTTCACCTGAAGCGGTCCGAGGTAATCACTTGTTCTCCCTTTATTGATCGTTACTGGGTTTTGAGCTCTGATCATCAGCACCCTACTTGTTTTTTTGTCTTTTTTTTTCTGTGATTCTTAGTATATGTGGTTGCTTTTTCTTTCCAGGGTTTTCCTTCTACTACGTGTTCTTTTGATTTCTCTCTGAAATTTGATGTCTTCTGGTTAATTTTTGTGAATTTCTTGTTTGTTTTCAACCATTTTGCTACAGAACTGGGACTTTTTGAATTGGGTCGCTCTGTTTTCGGTTTTTTCTTTAATCTTTGGCAAGAGAGTGCGATATATTTGGGTAGATGCTTGTTTTTACCTGGTTAATGTGTTCTGCGTTTTTATCTTGTCTTTCTCTCTCTCTCTCTCAGGCGGCAGAAGCGAGGAAATTCTGATAATTTTAGGCTGGTTTGGTAAGTTTTAGGGAAGGAGGGGTTGAGGGAATTCGAGTGAAATGGTTGGTAAAGAAAACTTGAGGACTGAGGACTTGAACTTGTGCTTTGAAAAACTAATGATGCTTGTTGATGGTGGTGGTGATGGAATCGACGTTGGTGCTAAAGGGGTTAAAATGGACGGTGGGGTGATTGCCGGATGGAAGGACATTCCTATGGAGCTTCTCTTGCAAATTATATCGCTTGTTGATGATCGAACTGTTATTGTAGCCTCTGGCGTGTGTTGTGGATGGAGGGATGCTATTTGCTTTGGCCTCACCCATCTTTCTCTATCATGGTACTTTCTCTCATCTGCCTTGAACGCCTTTCTATTTATTTCAATCTTGATTGTTGAACCTCTGATGTTTCTATAAACATGTTGATTTGTGTTGCTATTAGAGAGAAAATTTCAATCATATGTAATTGCGTCCTGGTTCATATTGATTTCCTTCTCCTGTTATTGCTTCATATCATATGATGAAATGGACTCCTCCTGATCTTTTTTAGTGCTTAAATGTGCTGGTTCACATGTTTCAAAAGCTTACAAGAAACTCGGATCTGTATGCCTTTGATTTTACATGCTTAAAATCAAATCACATGTGTCTTATTGCGGCGTAGTCCCTCTAAAGTTGATAGGACAGATTCTCAAGAATTTATAGGACAACTTCTCGTGAAAGTACCTCGTTATGTCTCGAATTGAGGCGATCCTGTTTCTCTGCTACCTTTTCGAGGCGTTCAGCGGGAACTAGAACATTTGTTATTACTCGAGTCTATTCCGATGGTAAAGCCTGATTTTTTAGGACTATTTTTGTGTCTAATATCTTTACGACTCTTTATTAAGATATGATCGTTAACGTTCCATAATTATCTGATACGACTTTTTAAGTTCTTTCACTTATAAATCATGAACATATCAGGAATGGTGCAAGCTTGATTTTTCTAGCTACAAACTTTGACTGTTATTTTGTAAGTACAGCTTCAACATTTACTTTTAGGCATTTATTTAATGAATAACCTGCTGCTTGGCCCCCCCAGAAAAGCATATACTTTTGGACATTTATACATCTAATGAATGACAGCTATTTTGTTGTTATGTAGGCCACACCCCATTAGATTCTTGAACCAATCACTGGTGTCATATGCTAAGTCAAGCACGTCATTATTATTTTATACATTTTAACGATCAGCTTGGAACTTATCAGAATCATTTACATAGTGATAGATTAATGCTTGGCAACGAAAGTTGTCGAGTTATAGACACCTTAGTTAATTGCTAGTTGGTGTCCCCTTTTGATTCAGGTGCAAAAAGAACATGAACAACTTGGTCCTATCTCTTGCTCCTAAATTTGCAAAGCTGCAAACTCTAATCTTGCGCCAGGACAAACCCCAGCTCGCCGACGATGCTGTTGAGACCATTGCTAGTTACTGTCATGATCTGCAGGTCCTGGACCTGAGAAAAAGTTCCAAGCTCAGTGATCTTTCCCTGTATGCCCTGGCTCATGGTTGCCCTGATCTTGTAAAACTTAATATTAGCGGTTGTACTGCATTCAGTGACACTGCATTGGCTTATCTAGCCAGTTATTGCAGAAAGCTAAAAGTTCTTAATCTTTGTAGCTGTGTCAAGGCTGCATCTGACACTGCATTGCAGGTACAAATTAAAGATTAAGCAATCTATATAGCATGTTGAAGTTGATTGGTCTAATTAACTTTCAATTATGTGCAGGCTATTGGACAATACTGTAATAGTTTGCAGTCCGTAAATCTTGGATGGTGTGAAAATGTGAGCGATGTGGGTGTGATGAGCTTGGCGTATGGATGTCGTGATCTTAGAACCCTGGACTTGTGTGGCTGTGTCCTAATTACAGGTACATCTCTCAATTCAATCAACAAATTTATATCTAGTAACTGAAAAGATGATAGATGCTTCTTACTTGATAGAGTACAGCTGTTTGATTCATGCTATTCTTACTAGAAAGGAGTATTCTTGACCTCAAATATCATTCACTCCCTATCCTTCCAGCTCTGATTCCGACATGCTGGTTGTTATTGCCAAGCATAGCCCTTCTCTCCACGAAATTGATGGATTGATTGAAAACGAAATCATGGGTTTCTTCAATGGACCCAAGAAAGGAAACCAAATATCATCTTCTCTTGGGTTCAAACTCAATATTATCATTGTAGTTTGTTGGTTTTTTTTTAATGCCCAAGCTCGGTTTCTTGTTAAACACTTTTTAAAAAGAACACTAGAAATCTAAGGTGGCCCGTAATATTCGAATCTGATAAGTTTTTGAGAATTACGTGTTGCAAGGTCAGTTAGCTGCCTCTTGCCGGCAAGGTGTGTATATGAGTGGGTAACTGATACTATCCGAGCGGTGGCCTGGGAGATGCTCGGATGGAATCTCGTTTAAGAATGAAAATATTCACTTGTTCCAAAACCCTCTACCACCTCTTTTAAGACATTTGCCCTGTTTCCAGAACTCAGCTACTCTTATCTTAGATATGAGAAAGAACACTTAAACTATAGGAGGCCCCGTAGATGCAGGAGCTTCCATCTTTTGAGTGTCCTCCTCCATAGGGGTGAGAGCAAGTGAAAGGTCTTTTATCGGAGCTTAACTAAGAAAGCCATTCCATTTAGGGTAAGCCCGTGTGGTAAGAAGTGCTGTCTCATCAGAAATTCTTGTCGGTGTATGTCGTGTGGGGTGGGGGTATTTTCTTTTTCTCTCAAATTGTTGAATTTTTTTTATGGTTGATGGAAGCGTTGGTTCTATCGTTAGCATCGTTAGCGTAGCTGAAGTTTGATCCTCATATCTGCAGATGATAGTGTGATTGCTATGGCAAATATGTGCCCTCATCTGAGGTCACTTGGGCTCTACTATTGTCAGAACATAACAGACAGAGCAATGTACTCTTTGGCACATAGCTGTATAAAGCACAAGCCAACAAAATGGGGAACAACGGGGAAGGGAAAGAATGATGATGATGGACTTAGAACGCTTAACATCAGCCAATGCACAGCTCTTACTCCCCCTGCCGTTCAGGCTGTTTGTGACTCATTTCCTGCCCTCCACACCTGCTCCGGCCGCCATTCCCTCATCATGAGTGGCTGTCTAAATTTGATGTCTGTGCATTGTGCTTGTGCAGTCCAAGCTCACCGTGCCCCCTCTGCTTTTCCCTATCCAGCTCATTGAACATGGGAGTAAGTTTTTAGATTGGTTGCTAATCTCGAACGACCCTTTTTCCCGAAAACCATGATGTTGTATCTGTACATGTACCTCGGAATCAAGGGAATTGGAACATATGAGGACTTTGTTCTCACTGTTTTCCCTTTCTTTTCATCTGTAAATATTGTAGCTTACGGACATCAAGATGCCAACTATATTATTTCCACACATGCTTGTTTAGATGTGGAAATGCCTTCAATTTCATAAGACTTCTGGATAAAGCAAGCATCCAACCATTGGAAAAGGAAAAAAAAAAGTTGAGCTTTACATTTGCAGCCCTTTTGGATAACCAAAAAATATTCATGGATTTGGAAAATTATTAACGAATAAAATGTCCAACCACATCAATTGTCAACACAATTGAAGGCTTGAGCCTTCTGTGCCAGTTGAAAGATAAGAGAGGTACAACCTTCTTGCATGAATAGATATATTCATCATTTGCTTTTATACACAATCTCTTCATCGTCCACATCAAATGCTGGATTACAGAGGCATCTGAAGAGTCTCCCTATACCCTGCACGGCATGAACAATGATACAGTGAACATCGTTCCCATCAAACAGCGCAAAAGATCAAGCAAATTAAAGTATTCCTCTGGTCGAGGTTTTTCTGTTGGAATTTGACTTCAATGCAAGCATGAAATTCACTAAATTTAAATGATTGCATGAATAGTGAGGTGCTGTTTACGTCTCAGGAATTGTCTTTTGGTAAATTATAACAACGATTACTTGTCATGTTCTTAAACCAATCTGAAATAATCACAAAACTTCATCACAGAGATGACAGAACTAGGGACTATAGCAAAAACTTTATTTTCAAATTTGCTTTTGTTTTTTTCCTAAGTTTGTATTTATAAAGTTGTAGTACTGTGAATAACGTGTTTAATATGACCTTACACATTGTATTTAGTAGATTTATGCAATCAATAAACTGTTAAATAAAAAATTAGAAAAAACTAAACTTATAAACTTATAATTCCACATGACTATTATTATTAAAAGTCATTTTTTAGAAGAGTTTCTAAATATATGTGCATACTGATTGACTATTCAAGGTCAAACTAAATCCATAGACAGAGGTATGATTATCCACATCCTCGCTCTCTTTTCCTACTCCCAATAAAATCAGGCCGACCACCCTTTCAGGTGTCAGAAACTGAAAGGGTCGATTACTCATTCAGGTAAGTTGCTTCTTTTTCTTGTGATTTACATGTGTTCGGAAAAAAACCTAGCGTTCAACTAGCATGATTATTCTAGAGGATCTGCGAAAAGAGTCAAGTTTTTGCTTATTTTGACCTAGACATTATTAGCTGGTACCAGCCGAACTTTTCAGCTCGAGTTTCAATATACATGGATAAAGTGGATCTTTTTGAGTGGAGAGAAGAGTTGATTAACTTGCCTGAGTAAGAAAAGGAGTTCGATAAGATATTGGTCTTCGGGGATCATCCTCATCGTCGCTGCTCTCTGAACTCGTTCCATCGTCATCTACTGCAGCAGCACTTTTCTTTCTTGATGTTCCACCATTTTGTGCTTGCTTCTCCTGCTGATAAAGATGGAAGTAATATATATAACAAGGCGTTAAAAACTGGAACATTATCATCCTTATCCTTTAAAATACATCAGAAAATGCACAATATCCCGGCATCATTTACTCCGTGACTTTGACATCAGAGGGGAGTCATTATCACCAGATCCTTATATAAAAATGGCCAGAACTTGTAGGGCATCGATGAATTTTTAGAAAAACTAAGAAACACTTTAATAATGGAAAAAGTGGTTCCTGGCCTCTGGCAATCAATGAACAATAAAGGTGAACATGATGCAAGATCTCAATCTCATGTAAAACCTGGAATATATTTCCAAGAATCTTTAGAGCCAGAGCACGAGCTTTTAGTTCTTCCCTTTTCACAGTATTATCCCGTAGTACCTGAGGAACAAATTGGATCACAAAAGATTCATTATGTGTGCCTAATAAGATTTTCTTTTTTTCTTTTTTTAGTTTCAATGTCGAAGTAACAATTCAGCCAACACTTATTCCCAAGTCTTAATGCCACGGAATCATACAACGTGCAACGAACTTCCCTGGAAAGCTCCCAAATATCCGCTTTTAAAAAGAGAAAAAGAAGAGGGCTCACCATCTGGCACACATTTATAAGAGTCAGTTCTATGTCCACCACGTTAAGCTTCCACAAAGAATTGAGGAATGTGTCTTTATTCAATCTAATATGCGATTCAATATCATTTTCAGGGCCACTACCATCCATTTTATACTGCCGGCAAATATCATCTTGAAGCTGTAACAACTGAAAAGCACCTGATACATATAAATAGTTGATATGATTAAGTAGCAAATTATTAAAGAAAAATACTTAATCATCGATGAGGAAAAGAAGACAAATTGTAAGCTTGAGATCTTCCTGCCTTTTGCAGCTGTTATCTGTGACTTCCAAAAATGCCCCTTGTTGCGAAACCATTCAGCCACAAATGGCACGCCAAGATAAATGGCTCTCTTTCCAAGCTCCTGTGCTGCTTGTCTTGAATAAATGTAGCCTATCGTGTGTAGTATACTAATACCAAAAGCTGCATGTCCAAGATGGGTAAAAACTAGGATCATCAATATAAATACAAGAGGCTCCTGCATCAGTAAGCTTTCAAGAAAATGCCGAACTTAATAAGCTATCATTAATATTCTTGCATAAAAAAACACAAGAACTCAAAAGTCTTGCACCAAGAAATGGTCAAAGTTAGCAATTAATGGAATCTGGAAGGAAAAAGGCACAAGGAATAGAGTGATTGCAATATCATATTCGTAGTTGTTCTTACCCGCATTAGAGAGTCTTTTGGCTTCAGATTCAGCATGCCGTAAGAATCCGTCTTTGTCACCTTGAACATATTGATTAAGAAAACCCTCAAGTATGCCTGCAAGTTTTTCTTCTCTTTCTTTCTGGACAGCCTACATTAGATAAGTTGCATATAAGGGACCTGAGATGCGGTTTAGAGAAAGGGAAGAAAACATTATCCAAGTAAACATCCCTTATTGGAGCATGGAAGAGTCCGATGTTCAAGTGCTAACTTTGCCGGAAGCTAAAACTACAGTTTCTCAAAGATGTTGAAATCTTTTCAAATTTTACGAGAGAAACATGTGTAAGGGAGAGAATTAAATAGGGAAACAGAATTATGTTCCTGAAAATTTTAACAAGATAAAGGAATAGAGAAGGAAAGAAAATGTTTGGGGGGGGGGGGGGGGGGGGGG